CTTTAGGGGCTCCGCAGTACCCCAATATTTAAAGTATTTCATAATACAGGAATACATGGATGGATAAAAAGCTGAAGGTGAAAACTTTTCAAGCAGCTAATGTTACTTTCTCTCACCTCAGGAGCGAATCATCGCGAAAAGAAATACCAAGCCCATCGTCAGTTTGGGGACAGGCGTGGAGGAGTCACTAGTGCTCGTACCTACTTCTATGCAGATGAATCCAAATGTGACAACCAAATGGAGACATTCATTAACTGCATTAAAGCCTCTGGTGAGTAGTAAAGTTCCTGAGGAAGCCATGCAGAACCATTTTGATTGTTGGGTTATATAGTGGCTATAAAACTTCTGTAAAAGGGACTGGCTCTAACATCTGGTGACAATAAAATGTATTTCAGGAGGAGCCTCAACAGATGGATTTTCTGCCATCAAAATGACCGCTCTTGGACGGCCACAGTTCCTTGTAAGTTGAACTTTTATGCCTTTAAATACTTTTCAAAAGGGAATTTAGATAAAGGTGTGATTGGCATTGAAATGCAACAGCAGTGCTGCCAGATCTATCGATAACAAAGCACACAGATTTTATGACGGGGGAATTAAAACATTAGCCATTCATTTATCTCTTCATGGTTTTGAGTCAATGCCAATTGATTAGTATGATTATAAGTTCACATTGTGTACACACAGTTCTGCCAGAATGTGTCTTGAGCTTTTTGCTGGTCTAACAGCAGCCAAAAAAACAATTGTAATACGATGGAAACCCCTGCATACTTTATTTATTAAGCAATGGATATCATCCTTCCATGACCTACTAATCTCAGAGCTGTCAATCGCTTCTTCTAATAAGGCTAAGGGGGAAACGTTAGAGGCTATTCAAAGAGCTGCTGATCGGGTAATATCATTAATGTAAATGATTGTACATATACGCACACCTTGGTGCAATTGTAGATTAGGAGTTAATCTCAATTCAGTTTAAACAGATGAAATGTTAAGTGAAAAAAAAAGGTATGAATGTATTTTATGTGGATACATTGTTTTGCAATAATATAAATATATAAAATATAATAGATAAACTCAGACGATTGCTAACAAACATCAGGTAGGATTTTCTGTGAAATGGCAAGATGGGTGGGAAGGGGGAGGGACGGGGTTGCATGGGAAAGGGTTTCCCTATATTTTTTATTTCTCTTTGTCTTTTCGTATTGTCTATATATAATTTGTATACAAGTCCCTTTGTGAGATGTTTCACCCAGATCTAGGGGAACCTAGGCGCAGCGTAAAATGTGCACTCTCTTTTCCCACTCCCAAGAACATAAGACAATGAGACAGTGAATGCCGTTTGGTAAATTTAATTACCAAAGTTTTCTTTTTAACAAACAAGTGCAACAACCCACAAAACAAACAAATCTCTGAACACAAAATCTTGCCTAACAAATAAGAAAATAAACATACAAGACTCTTACCTACACTAACATTAAACAGGAGAAAACGAATTAACCAAAGACAAAGGGTTTTGCACTCCTGAGTAAAGAATACAGCGTGTCTGCAAAGACGGGTAAAGTGGCCAGATGTAAAAAAGTAGAAAACATAACATTCAGTTATAACTGCCAAAACAAACATTTACACTATTATGACCCCTGTGAAAAATGTTTGTAATGTTATCTACTGTAAGTTGGTCGAACGAATGCCTCCTCATCCGGAAGCTGACCGAGCA